TGGGGCCGCTGGTGTGGAGGAGCCGTGCGGCTTCGTGCGAGGGCCGCCGCCGGGGGCGGGGTGGGCGTGGGGGACTCAGGCCCCGCTCGGGTGGTGCGGCGGCCGGGCCGAGCGCTGTGAAGCCTCGTGCAGTTTCGCCCCGTTCCCAGGTCTTCGTGTTCGATGTCGGCGGCGGGACCTGGCGCTTCTACAACTGGACCCACATCACAACGGTGGCGACTTTCGGAGCCTACGACCCCGAGCTCATGTGTTATGCTCATGCCAGGGGGGCCAGGGTAGTGCTGAAAGGTGGGTTGCAGTGTGGGCAGCAGGCTTCCAGACAGGTGGGAAGTGCCATCCTTGGGGGCTGTCAAAACCCGGCTGGGCAAGGCTCTGGTGGGGAGGATGTAGTTGGGGCCGGTCCTGCTTTGAGCTGGGATTGGACTAGATGTGACCTCCTGGTGTCCCTTCCCACCCTCATTTTTTGAGTCTATGATTTGAATGTTATATTTGTAAAAGCAATACAGATAGAGCTGCGGTATCTTGTGGCTTTTACATATCCAAAAGAAAGAATAAGCACAGAAAACTCTGTAATTGTTTCTTGCAGAGTAACAGAACTATTTCTCTGGCAGCCAAATAAAAGCTCTCGGGTGAAAGTGAGCGGTAGAAATTGCAGGGGAATGGGGAGGGACACGTGGGCAGAAAGAAGTATGCAAGTTTGCCAGGTCATTGTTGTATATATTTACCGTGCAATATAATAGTTGCATTGTAAATAGACTAGTTATTATACAATATAACTAGTATTATATTTGCATTAATGTGTATTCATGATACAAATTTATGATTTAAAATATTTGGTTTTGAGCAAGAATATCCTATCTGCATGTATGAAGAAAAAGGTAGATGGTGAAGAATGCTGAGGTGAACAAAGTGCAATAGGAGATAGGAACCTGAAAATGCTGTTCATGCACACATATAGAAAAATAAATTTTGTCTTGTTTAGTACACGGTTTTGTATTATTCAGTACAAAAAGAAATAAAAGGCCAAGAAATATGTTGGTAGATAAAAGGAAAGGCTAAAAGAGAAAAATGTGTCATGGCATTAAGAGTCAGTAACTATGGTTGCCTGAAAATATCAGATGGAAGTTGGCTTTGGGGAAAAAAAAAAAAAAAGAGGAATGGCTCATGGTGGATAAGGAGAAATAACCAGACTCAGTGAGATGAAACTCCAAAGAAAGTCAGAAAAAATGTCAGAAATATCAACTAGATCCTAGTAAGCTATCCTTAGGAAGCTCCTGTAGTTTAGCACTTCTCAAAATTAAGCTTAAACACTGGACTTGGTCTGTGCTATAAACTAAAGCATTAGTACAAAGCTGGGATGGTTGGGGATGGTCCTCCTTTGAGCAGGGGATTGGTCTAGATGTGACCTCCCTGAGGTCTTTTCCAACCCCCAAGCGCCATCCTTGGAGACTGTCAAAACCTGGCTGGGCAACGCTTAGGTGGGGAGGAGGTAGCTAGAGCCGGTCCTGCTTTGAGCTGGGATTGGACTAGATGTGACCTCCTGGTGTCCCTTCTCACCACCCTCATTTTCTATGATTCAAAGTAAATACTAAGGATAAAGACGTTCTTTCTGGCACCATGATTTAAAAGTGATAACTTACAAAGATGTCCTGTTTAGGAGATGTACCTGTTGAGAAGATGGTTGAGCCTGCTGCAAGAGAATTATGGATAACTCAACAGGTGGAACTGGCTAAAAAGCAGTATATGGATGGAATTAATATCGATATAGAGCAAGCGGTTAATAGGTTATCACCTGAGTATGATGCATTAACAAATCTAGTGAAAGAAACTACAGATGCTTTTCACAGAGCAATTCCAGGATCACAGGTATAAGATGCATTCTGTATAAGCTTAGGTTTTAATGTTGTGAAATCCTCATCTAGTATAGACTACGTATTTAAAGTTTTCTGCAAACCTCTGTCATAGTCCTAGTTTTCCACTTGTGTGCTTTGTTCATTTTGCTTGTTGACTATCTATTTTTCTCATAAGAATCGCTAAACTTCTCCTGCTGTAGAACCTAGTTATAAAAACAGAACCATTGTTTTGCTGAGACTTACAATGTTTGTTTATGTTATAGCCCTCTTTGGTATGTTGGCTGCCATTCATAAATCACTTGCCATTCACCATAATAATGTGGTAGTGGTATGGATTAGTGAAACTTCTTGACAGTGTACATATGATATCAGAAAAAAATAAGTCTTTAGAAATTAGCGGTATAATGTTGGAGAGATTCACAAAAGTTTTCATATCTTTAAATGGACAGCCCTAAAATATAAAAAATCTAATTTCAGAGCAGCCAGAGGCCACACACCACATAGGTTGCAGGCCCTGGGCCACACATTGCAAGGTCTGCATGCCTGATGGGACACACGGGTTCCTCAGGATCCCTGCCACATGCAGTTGCCCACCTCTACCACCGTACTGGTGATCAGCCCACCACCACCATTACAATTGCACAGAAGTTTCCCCCACACCATGTGGTTCCCCCCCCCCTCCCCCCATGCTGGCACTGCCAGCAAACTCACCTGGCTGCCTCCTGTACTGTTTTGCCCCAAGGACCCTGGCTGCCACACACATCTCAACAGCCAAAGCAATAGGGAAAGTGTTGGTAGGACAGGAGTCCATGGGCTGCATATGTGGGCTGGATACAGCCCTGTTATAGTTCAAGAGATGTAATGTTCTGATCTCTATAGTGATTTTTTAAACTACAGTTCTCACAGACTTGAGAAGACAAGAAAGAGCAAGTTAATTCTCCTGTTTTTATGTATGTTAAATGAATACTTCTATAGGCAGACTTGTTCTGAAAACAAGCATCAGAACAATAAAGTACATCAATTCCATAGGCAATATAAACTTCTGCTCTTCTCCCTCAGGTAACATTTGATGTGGCTTGGTCTCCAGCATGCATTGATCAAAGATGCTATAACTACATTGGCCTTGCGAATGCTTGTGATTTCGTGTTTGTGATGTCGTATGATGAACAGAGTCAAAACTGGGGAGAATGCATTGCAAGGCCCAATGCTCCCTATAATAAGACCGTGAGTGGTAAGGATCTATTTAAAAAAAAAAAAAAAATCAGCAGCCAGCATATACCTTTTTTTATTAGAATAGCTTATTGTGTGGGGGCACTTTATTTTTTTTTCTTTTCTTGGATGCTTTTTGATTGCATTGTTGGAGGTTATTTTTGTTGTGTGTTTGTTTTTGTTTTTTTTTTCCCCCAGAGCCTCAGACATGGGTAAAACTTCTGAAGAGTATAGGTTCCTTGGAGCTTTATGACACTGGATAAACAGTATATCACAATTGCATGGCATAATGAGACAAATTTTATTCTATGCATAAGCCTTTAGTCTTTATTGTTGTGAAAACTTTCAGAATGCAAGCAAAACATGGTGCAGTAGTGGTGTCATCCTTTTCTTTATAAAGAGCATTAAGTACTTTATCTCTGAAAGGTGTGAAGTACCTCTCTGTGGCAGGTTAACTTGGATGCTATAAAATGGCAGTTCAAAATGTCTGACCTGTTTTCTGAGTTGTGGGGGGAACCAACAATAGGAAAAGAGAGGGAAGATAATATGAAGATTTATGTACTCTGCTGGGAGTGGCCTCTCAGTTATAGCTATTCATAGAGGTGCTTGAGAGAATACTGTCTCCTTTTTCCCCCCCCCCCCCCCAGCCCCCAACAGCCTCCACTTTGATCTTTGCAGATGGAGTCAGAGGGGAGGAACAGATCATATTGCAGATCAACTGAAAGTTGCCAATGGGGATGAACCCAATGGGGAGGTCCAACCCTTTGACCAAAAAGCACCGTCTAACTTACTCTGATACAGAGTGTGGGTTCAGAGGTATCTTCCTCTAGCTTCAATAGCTGGTGTATATGTCCAGACCTGGCCAGAGATTACTGGATCACTTACTGTCAGATCATGTTTTTCAAGTGATTTTTTTTTTTTTCACAACAGTGGAAATAGGAAGCAATTTCTGCTTGTGTAATGTTTAAAGTCTAATACCCTCATGCATTTCTTGGAAGTGGGCGTTAAGCAGTGCCATATATGCCTGTGTTTTAATCCTCGCCTTGCCCAGGAGTGTACGTGAATCCTAAAATCTCTGTGAGCCAAGCAGACAATGCCATAATTTCAGATATTCTAAACAGTTTATTGTGACTAGCATCTTAAATAGGCAAGCCTTGGTTTGGAAGCAGAAGAGGAGACAGTAAAACTGCTAGGCATTTTTTTTTTTTTTTAAATACCCTGCCTGAAGTGGGGAGCAGCTGGCTTCCAGCCAAGGAATATAACAGTTTGTTCACCTTAGGTGGGAAGGGAAACCCTGGGGTGGCTGTATTTATTTGAGATCTGTCACTTGGGTGCTTCTAATTCAGGTCTTCCCCATGAGTGACGTGTGCCTCCAGCAGTGTTGGCAGTGTCTTTTTGTAGGTGGTGCATGTGCACCTGCATGCACCCCCTATGCATTGCCAGTGGTCTTCCCTGTGCAGAGTGGTAGTATAAAAGGCAGAATTTGGCACTGGTAGAGTATAATTTAGGTTCAGGCTTCCATACCTGCTGTTCAGCCAGTATACCTTAATCTCAAACTGGTGTGATTGGCTGTAGAGGTGCATAGGGAGAGTTGCATTAAGCTATTGTTTGTTTTACTGGACTGTCAGTGGTAGCACTTTGTGATATGGACATGCCTCTATTGGGGATTATCCTGAGACCAGAAACTCTTGAGGTGCACCAGAAAAAGATCGGGACTGTATTGGATTCCTGAAGTTAATGACCTAGCATCTGAGTATTTATTATTGAGTTCTTTATGGGTTAAGTAGGCCAGGTCTGAGTGGACATCATATATTCAAAAGTAAGAATACAGAACATTTTCATGAATGCTGCGTGCCCCCAGAGCTGTGGGGACACAGCAAACACCAGCCAGTGGTTGGTGAACACCAGCAGACGCTGGTGCCAGCAGTGACCAGCAGCTGTTGGGGACTGCCTGCAGATGCCACTGGCAGTGTTCGCATGCCTTTTTTTGCAGGGGGTGCCCCACAAAGTTCAGGGGGTGCATGTGCATCTGCATGCACCTCTTTTATGCATCGCCAATGGAACGTGTACATTATTAGCATTATTTTTTAACACTGCCCACTTCATTTTGTCTCTAATGCCATATATATTGATTTATATTTAATGTCACTTTGTAACTATTCCTTAACATGTTCATTTTAACATGACCCAACATCGACCTTCACTTTGGGTGTTTAGTATTGTAGTATTTCTTAGTTAATTCTTGAATTATTTAGAATTTGTATGGAATATTAAGCAGCAAAAGAATTGGAGTAGGACTGGAAGGGACCTCCGCAGGTCATACAGTCCAAGCCCCTGCTTAAGGCAGGAACACCCCTATTGAAACTGTCCTATATAAATATTACAGGTGTAGATCATGTGTTTTTGTTTTTGAATATCTTTCATCATCATTGTATTTCAGTAATGTTGAAAAAGTTAGTGTTGGCAAGCTTGGCAGCTTGTCAATATATTAATGTGAAAGCCAGGCACATTTATATTCTGTTAATTTAGGATATGAAGACTACATTAATATGGGGATTGATCCTAAGAAGCTTGTGATGGGTGTTCCCTGGTATGGCTATGACTATACTTGCCTGAATTTATCTAAGGTAAGATAAAGGCATTTCACTCCTTAACCATTTTTAAATAATTTTTACTCCTGTAATGTACTATGTAATTTTTGGTACTGATTTTTACAGTAAAGAAAAACAAAATCGGTGTCATCTGGTGGTACAGGCACAACACTTATATTTTGGATACTGGACTTCTTGTTTCTGAAGCTGATTGACAGTGTGATGTTAGAGAGGATATTTTACTTCTGTCCCTCATGTTTCTACATAGTAACATTTTCAGATTATGAGATTTAGGCATTGTTATAAAATGCTTTAAATTAGTGGTGCCCAACCTTCCCAGCACTGTGGGTTGGATGCTTGGTGCTAGGTCAGGGGTGGACAAAATACGGCCTGCAGGCTGGATCCAGCCCACGAGGCCTTTCCATCCGGCCCGCGGAGCCCCTTCTTTTTTTTTTTTTTTTAAATCTCTGCCCTTGGTTCCTGTCAAAAATGACAGGAACCAAGGGCAGTAGGACCTGGGGGAAGCTTGGCAGGCTCCCAGAACAGTGGGGCCCACCTGGCCCCACCCCCCCAGCTGGAAGCCCATGCTGCCCTTCCTGGGCTGGGGGTCTGTGGCTGCTGCGGCGCAGGAAGCTCAGGTAAGTGGGGTGGGGGAACCCCCGGGCAGCAAAGGAGCGGCCCCTCCCTGCCCACGCCTGATGCCCTGTGCTGTAGCTGCTTGCAGCCCACATGGGGCTACCTGTGCCTGCTCTGGACAGCCCCACACGGGCTGCGAGCGCCTGCAGTGCGGCACATGGGAGGGGCTGCTTTCCACCACAGTTAGCTCTTCCCCAGGCCCCTTTCCTGCATGGAGAAAAGCAGCCCCTCGCTCGCCCCACACTGCAGGTGCTTGCAGCCTGCCCAGGGCTGTCCGGAGAAGGCGCAGGCAGCCCCAGGCCAGCTGCGAGTGGCTGCAGCGCGGGGTGCTGGGCATGGGGTGGGGGAGGGGCTGCTTTCTCCTCCCCTTCCCTCCCCCCATGCTCAGCAACACCTTTTTGTAACCCGGTCCCATTGTCAGGCTGGCAGTGGGCAGGGTTACAAGCTGGTGCTGAGTGCTGGGAAAAGTGGCCCCTCGTCCACCCGATGGGCAGCACCCCATGCTGCAGCCTGCATGGGACTGCCTGTGCCCGTTCCAGACAGCCCTGTGTGGGCTGCGAGTGCCTGCATCAGGGAGCGCTGGCCATAGGGTGGGTGAGGGACCACTTTTCGCCATGCTCAGCATAGTTTCCCTGCTGGCAAGCAGGGGGTCGGGGCTGAGTGCTGCCCCCTGCCTGTACTGCGGGGCTTGGGGGGCACTGGGAGTGAGTGGGTGGGGAGCCAGTGGAGGCATGGGGCCTGCACCAGTGTCCCAGTGCCAGTGGGGCTCAAAGCAGGGTGGTAGGAGTGCAGGGTCCCATCAGGCAGGGGGTCTGTGGAGCTGGGCCAGCTGCCCCCTCCTTGTCGGTGCAGGCCAGCCCGGCTCCACAGACCCTTACCAGCTTGTGCCCCACTCTGGGCCCCACCGGTGCTAGGACATTGGTCCCAAGATGGTGACCAGGGGGAAGGGCACCTGTCAAGGGACGGCGCTACCCATGCAGCCTTCAACAGCCTCCCAAAACTGGGTAAGTGGCCCTCTGGCCAAAGTAATTGTCTGCCCCTGTGCTAGGTAAATCCCTTGCATGATGTGTACTAGATCCAGTGCGTGGGATTGGTCTGGGCCTGATCAAGCCTACCACATCAGATCTGCTATTCCAGCCCTGCCTGCACCAGATTGGGCCCTGACCCCATATGTTGGGATGGTGCCTGTCATCTGTGGCAGCCCTAATCTGCAAAAGCATTGGGGCCCATTATTTCTTCTTCAGGAATATTGGGACTTCCACTGAAAGGCTGGGTACGTAAATCAGTAAACCTGACCTGTAGACGTTGCAGGAAATCATGCACCAATGTAAATAACATTTAATTCATGGAAGGGCTAGTAATAAAAACAAGGTATCAAGCAAAGGAATCGGCTTTCAAAAACATGACCCCAACTAATCCTGTGAACCCTAGAAATCTGTAGACTAAATTAGTAGGATATTCTCTCCCCACCCCCCACCCTTTGCTCCACACACGTGCACATGTGTACGTGCATTTCCTGATGGTCTTAATAGCACTGGGGTGAGTTCAATATGAATGGCTGGTACTAATTGCAGGGAGTTCAACAGCTATTTTTTTTCAGTTGAACTGAGTCCCTGGAAGTTTCTATTCCTGGTCTTTTATTTCCACTGGAGGGGAAGCCCCGTCTTACTTAACTGGCCTTCAGTCCTCAGAATCAGAGCAACATCTTCTTCCTACCCTGTACCTGCCACTGCCCCATGACTCCTTGGTCAGATCTCCCTCTGTGTGTGTGTGGCCTTTGTCAGGCTCAGCTCTGATGGCTGAGCAATGGGCAAGGGATTTGGGAGCCAGTGGTTAAGTATTAGGTGTGCCAATTTAAATACCTGGTCTAGCCTCCACGTACCATGCATGTGAGTTTGAGTGCATGAAAGCCAGGTGAGGGAGGCAAGTTCCAGTTCCGGTCTCTCCTGCTGAGATTTGCTTCTCTCTGGATTACCGATGAGCCACAGATAAAATAGATGTTTTTATTAATCCTGTCATTAAGTTGGTAACAGTGATATTGCTTTCTACATTGAACCAGTCTGAGGAGCTGGAACTTCCAACTAAATAATAATTATATGGATTTCTTTCTCTAGCTTTTAAAAAAAGAAAAAAAAAAAGGTAGTATTTCATATCCAAATAGGTATTTCAGGTTGTTTTTCACAGGTGCCTTTTTTGTCATTTTCTTCCAGGCTTATTCTTTTTCAAGAGTTAGATAAAGTTGAGTAATATGAACCTGAGCTCCTTTTATTTTTCTGCAGGATCACATTTGTTCTATTAAACCAGTTCCTTTCCATGGGGCTCCATGCAGTGATGCTGCAGGGCGTCAGGTCCCATATAAAATAATAATGGACCAAGTGACTAGTTCAATTTCTGGGAGCCAATGGGATGAGGAGCAGGAAGCTCCTTATTATGAATACAAGGTAAGCTGTTTTACAGATACTCTAGGCCAAATATGGTCTGGTTCATTTTGCCCACATGGTGCATAGTGGATGGATTCCAGCTTAGCATCTGCAGGGAAACCCTCCCTTGACAAAAGGGTGCTAGACATGGTGAAGCAGGTTTCTATACCAGTGTGCTGTCTCCTTGGGAGTGACATGCTGTCATGCCATAGGGAGAGATTTGGTAGAACAGTCGTCCACTATTTTTATCTTCCACTGCTGTAAGGTCCTTTTAAAAAACAAAACAAAACAACAAACAAACTGTCAGTGCCTAAAATTCAAGCTGCTCTTAACTTTCAGCTGGTGCTGATTTGATGGATGGATTAGGAGTTGCAGCCAGCACTGGTTTTTCTTCTCCACTGCATCCAGAATTCACTTGGAAGCAGTGGTTGTTGGAACCCCTGGAGTCTTCTACTTGCACTGTAATTTCCTATTCAGTTAGTGACACACTCTCTCTTCTATTTTCTATATAACCTTCATCTGTTGATAACTATAAGATCTTAAAAGTGATTACTGGCCCAAAGTAATATAAACTTATTTAGCAGAAGTTCATAACCTTTTCTAAACCTGCATTTATTGCTGGGAAAAAAACAAATCTGACATTCATTTACTGGTATACTTGAAATCTTAGCACAAACCTTAAGTTTATTTAAAGAGTAATAAATCATTTAAACAAATTCAAATTTAGTCATTTCATTTAACCTTTTAATGAAACAAATGTCTTTTATAAAAGAGTTGCACAAAATGAGTGCTTTGTCTGGGAGATCAGCCCTGCTTTCCTTATGTCTTTTTCCCTGGTTACTGGATCATCTTTTGTAGAAAAAAGAGGACTGGGTAGTTAAGTTTCCTATTTGCCTTATTTTAAACTTCCTTGCAAAGCAGTGAAGAAATTTTTACATGAAAAGGTGACTCTGGAAAACCACTGTTGCATATATTCACATTTGTGTATCACAAGTTATACCTAACTTTTTAGGCATTTTGTATTCATTAAAATAGTCCTGTTAATGTAATTTTTATTTATACTAACACACACATTCTGGACACTTTTATAGGATGCTCTTGGTCATTTTCACCAAGTATGGTATGATGATCCCTGGAGCATTTCCCTGAAAGCAGCATATGCACAAGAACGTGGCTTAAGAGGCATTGGCATGTGGAATGGAGATTGTCTTAACTACTCTAGAACTGCTGTAGCAGAACAGCAAACTGAAGCAATGTGGCAAGCCTTGATACCATAGCAACTGCATGAGATGATCAGCATTTACTGCTTGGTTTAGAATGACGAAAAATTTAATGGGATATTAATTCTAAAGAGAAATGCATATGTTGTTGTCTTACAAGCATATGCTGGTTATGAGCAAAACTTCTGGAACAATCACAACTTTATTTTATCCAGTACTTTAGAAAGTATTTAATATTGCATTAATTCATTTTAAGAGATTTGGTTAGATTTTCTATTTTTACAATTTTCAATTATGTTTTTATTAGTCAAGCTGTTTACCTATCGCTCTGTTATTTTCACAACTTGAAAAGCTATGAAATCATGAACTCTTAAGAAACCTTCACTCTCTCTTTTTTAACCAGTATTTTAAATTTCATATTATGAAAAGTATTTCTTACCCAGTTTAAAATACATTATTTACAATTAATATTTAAAATGAATATCTGATATTCTGAACTTCCTACTTGTGGTCACTGCACTGCTGTAGTTTGTATTGCTGTAAGGTTTGTATGCTGCTTTTTAAGTAACAGAGGAAGAGGTTGTTATTCTTGAAACTTTTAGAGGTTTCTCCTCTTCCTCCTAGTTGTCTGTAAATTGTACTAGTAACAGTAAGAAATGCACATTGCGTTTCCTAGCGCTGTGTTTTTCTGTATGCATTACACACCTTTTTCCAGTAATTAGCTGCTGAAAATTGGAGTGTGTATCATAAACAAGGAAATACAATAATGATGTTTAGCTGATAGCTATAGCAGAGGGCAGTAAGTGGGGCACTAGTCCTGAGCACTGATTTTAGGGAGGTGCCAGACTGGCACCCCTCAGGAGCTTTTGCTGCAACTGATGTGTGGGTAGGCTGTGTCCTAGTGGAGCAGCAGCCTACTCGCAGCAGTCTGCATTGAGGGCAGAGCCCTGCCTGGGGCAGGCAAGACTCTGGCCCCACCCAGGTGTCACATAATCTTCTTCCCTTCCTCTGCCCAGAGCTTGCTTCACCTCTTATTTCCCTCTGCCCAGTTCACTTAGATACTCCAGCTGCTGTTGGACTCCTGCTGAGTAAGCAGCAGTAGTTAGAGGGTTAAAGGAGCACTGACAGGCTGTTGCTTCCTGATCCCCTTGCTGTTCCTTATGGTTCACTTGATTACAGTAGGGGCACATGAGTGGCTGGGCTGTGAAACCTGTGAGCATATGCAAGTAAGAGTGGGACACGGTAGTTATGTTCTGTCAGTGTCAGTGAAAAACGTAAAGTACCAAGAGAAGCAGAAGAAATTGGAAGGAGATACAGCAGCAACGAAGCATGGAAGAAGGCAAAGGAGAAACTGCTTTTGAATGATGGTGGCAGATGAGCGTTTTATGGCGCAGGTGCACAATACCCAGAACTTGAAGAATAACTTTGGGATATGTGTGAGAGAGATGGCAATTTGGATATGCAGTGTCAGATAAAAGCATGTCAAATTGCAAGGGAATTTGGGGTAGGTCTTTAGGGTTGGCAGGGGTTTGAGATGGATCTTTTTATAGAAGAAATGGATTTTCAGTAAGAAGTCTCATCAATTTTTTTTTTTCCTAATGTCTGCCTGAGGTATATGAAAAGAAATTGACAGCTTTTGAACAATACGTGATCAGGCTCCGGAAGCAGCGTTCATACCTACAGTCACAAAAAGGAAATAAGGATGCCATGTGATGCCACAGGAAAGGAGAGTGGAGCAAAAACAGTCTATGGAAGAATGGGCAGATACAGAAAGCAGCGTTGCATTGTGGTTGGTGATGGAATGTTGCCGGTTTGTGTGTGTGTAGTTTTTTTTTTAAAAACCAACAGAAAACCTTCCCTGAAGAGAAGTTACCACCAAGGATAACTGTGTGGGCACATAGAAAAAGATAAAGAAGCCAGTCCATCATTGTTACCCAAGTGTGTATGGGAATACCCACCTGGTGCTGTTTTGCATTTAAGAGACAGGCTCACATTGGATAGGTTTTTAGAGATAGCATGCAGAGGGAGTGAAGAAACAGCTGAAAGATGGAAACGGAGACCAATACCAGGAAGCACAACATACATGCTTCAGACATTAGATATCAGCAAATAATTATTTCAAAGCAAACATGAAACCTCTATATGCAGAATGAATAGCAACTAATAGCCACAGTCTGACCAGAACAGGGCAAGCTACACAAGTGGAACAGGGTTACATGAAGTTTCATCCCCTTAGACCACATTGTTAAAAAATTTAAAAGTGCTGCATTTTTCTAATGGGCTGGGTGGTAGTAAGGACTGTGCTGTGGGGGACAATGGTGTAGGTTCTGCAGGAGGCAGCAGTGATTTAAAAAGTAAAGTTGATTACTGAAGGATTTGCTTCCTCATTGTTTTAATCCTCTTGTCAATTTTTTTTTACTTTATCAACTTTTAATGTGGGACTGGTGTTTTGCTATGTTGTAAAGTCATTCTGCCATATGGCAATGAGAGATGTGAGGGTCTACATCAATGTATACAATAATTTTTTTCCCCTCTGATTTCTCTTGTTGCTGAAACCCAAACTTAAATACTCTTTGAGTGTCCTAAATCCATGTATTTTTACACACAACTCAGGATGCATTAAAACTTCTTTTACTTTCTAACTAATGCTGCTTATAAGATTATTTTTTCATTCTGAAAACTTACCTCAGGTTAGTCGTCATATATTTTCACAAAATAATTTATTGTTGGAAATGTATAATTATATTAAACTATTTGCAGATTGATTTTTGGCTATGTGTGAGTGACTCTTCCCTTGTGCCTCCCCCTTACAAATGTTAAGGAAATGTTCTCAGCAGGACTAAACATAACGAACAAGCAGTGAAACTCGTGGTGCATCTACACCGCATTTGGCCTCATGTCCCAGCATGAATGTCCCTGAGCTCACCCCTTGCCCAATGACATTGCAAATCCAGAAGAGCACCAGGGAGGTTCTACCAGTGGCCACAGCTGGAAGCCTTAAAGGGACCTCCCTACTGCTGTAAATGGGAGTGGGTGGTATAGATAACTTCCTAAAGACATAATTAAACAGCTTGTGTTTTTCTCCCTTTAGCTTATGCGGTGGTGATGCAATCTTCTTAGACTGCCTTTAGTCTTTCAAAAGAGTCCTGCTCTTTACTGGTCACGTAGATAAGCAGGACCTCACCCTGTAAGCATTTACATGCGTTCTTCACGTTTTGAGTAGCAATCCCATTACATGCTTCAAGTATTCTGGCTGTAACAGAGTATTTGCATGTGTGATTGTGGTACTGGGAATGCTTTTTAAATTTTGATGCAGTTTCACTGAGTTGTAGACGCACTAAAAGAATTTAATGATAGAAGTGGAACATTTCTCTCTCGATTCTGGTTTATTGTCAAGTCAGGCCCTGTCCATACTGCAGCTAAAAGTGATGTTACCTTCTCTGGTAACTGAAAAGTGGCCAACATTGTACACATCAACCATGACACTTCTCAAATTGTTTTTCCAGTTCAGTAAGTGTAACTGGACATTTCTTTGTGACAACTATAACAGTATTGTTGAATGCAATTTAACCTGAATTTATGCTGAACGCGTTTTGCAGCAAAAATCTATTCCATGTACAGCACATCATCAACAGTGTTGGTGGTATCTCTTGGAAACGTGCAAAGCTCTTTTCCTGATGGCAATTCAGGCAAAGAGCATGAGGTAATTCTTTCATTTAGCCATGAATGATTTGATTGGTTAAATTTCTCCTGTGAAATGGAGAAGATCACAAAATATGGTCACTTCCTCTTCAGAATCCTCTGAAACTTAAATCCTATGGGAGACTTCAGCAGTGTCAGGGTAGAGCATCACTGTGGGTTTGACAGTAGGACAGCAATCATCTCAGGCTGCTGCTGTACTGAAGCCAGATTCCCATGGAGTGACTATGGGGTAAGAAAGAATGATACCGAAAAGCCGCCATGCTCATCCTCCATGCCTCAGAGTCCTGTGTTGAATCCGAGTTCCTTGTAGATGGTGACGTTGCTATGGCACAGTGCTTTGGTACTTGCTATTGCGCTGTGCTTTAGTACTTTTAGTATGGGTGGCTACTGCTTTATGTGCTTGGTGCATGGGTAAATTTCGCCACTATGTTGCCATAGTGGTGCACTATACCCAGGGACTGTGCTGCTACAGTAACATATCTGGCTATCACATTATCACTGTCACATTAGCAGCCATGTCTCTGTTGCCATAGGGCAACATGTAGATACATCCATTAATATGTAAAGCTTTTGGTATTTTTGTAGCATATAGCACTTTTTCAGTTACTCTGTAATTTTCATTCACTAACACTGAGTAGAACTTTCAAGTATGTTTGTTAATTCTGTTTAATATAAAGCTTCATTGATTGGCACTTCAGTTAAACTGTAATTAATCATACCAATTTGTTGCACCTGCTTCAGAGAATAGAGGAAAATGCTGTTTATTTTTAGATATTGTTATTTTGTTGCAATAGTCTTTAAACTCCGTTTATACAACTCCAACACTGACAATACAATTCATATATTTAGCATTTTAGGATTTTTTTTCTTGAAGTGGAGCAACAGTTGATTGTTTTTGTTTCTTTATTAAAAAGCTTTAATACCAGGTTAGATCAGAGACAAAGAGGTTGTTTGGATTGTAAGATTTAAGAGTTCCTCCTTCTAAAAATATTGCAAAATGTTCACATCCTATTTCTGATTTCCTGTGCACTTACTGTTGCCAGCAGTCAGTACATTCTTGTCAAGTGTTATGTTTTATGATGCAATAATTTTTCATAGTAGTTTGGGGTCAGAAGGGACCTGAACAGATCATCTAGTCTGACCCCCCGCCACTGGCATGAGCACGTGCTGGGATCACACGACCACAGACAGGTGTTCATCCAACCTCTTTTTGAATTTGCCCAAGGTAGGAGCGAGGACCACTTCCCTAAGAAATTGGTTCCAGATCCTAGCCACCCTAACAGTGCCTCCTAATCTCTAACCTGAACCTATTCTCCAGCAGCTTCTGGCCATTGTTCCTTGTCACCCCAGGTGCTGCTGGGGGGAACAGGGCCCTTTCTATTTGCTGCTGATCTCCCCTGACGAGTTTGTAGGCAGCCACCAAATCACCCTAAGCATCTGCTTGCTGAGGCTGAACAAGTTCAGGTCCCTCAGCCTTTCCTCCATAGGGCCTGCCCTGTTGCCCTCCAACCAAGCAGGTGGCCCTCCTCTGAACCCTCTCAAGGCAGGCCACATCCAGAACTGGATGCAGTACTCCAACTGCAGCCTGACCAATGTCACGTAGAGGGGGAATATCATCACCTCTCTGGACTGGCTTGAGATGCATCTTTGGATGCACGACAAGGTGCGGTTGGCTTTGCTGGCTGCAGTCTGGCATTGGCGGCTCATGTTCATCTTGGAGTCAATGACTCCAAGATCCCTTTCCGCCTCTGCTCACAGAGGGGAAGCTCCCCAGCTTGTATGTATGCTGTGGATTCCTTCTCCACAGGTGCAAACTATAGGACCAAGCAGAAAATAATTTTAAAAATGAAACATGAAGGTAGCTATTCCTTCCAGAAATTTATTACCCCCACAATGTGGAGATCTGAATTTAGTTAGTGAATGTATGCACAACACTTTTTTTTCAAATATACCATATCATGTTCATGATCATATTTGTAATCTAGGTGGGACAAAGCTTGCAATTTTCAATAGCTTACAGAACACTTGATTGTTAATGAAGCTACAATTAAGGAACAGAAACTACTAGGTAGAAAGTCAATAGATATATTATGTGCTTTAGTTCAATTTTACATAAATACTTTACAGAGATTGTGTTTTTCATGCTTTGATTCCACAATATAGTGAAAAAGTAAATTCTAAAAATCTAATAATAGATCTCGGCTTCCCTACCCAAGTAAACAGTTATTTTGTGTGTCAGTTAAATTGTACCTCAAAATAAATGATGCAGGAGTTTGGGATTTATGAGTATACTTGTAAATTTGAACAACGTTTTTGTTAAACAAGCATATAGTTTATTATACAGATTGGATACATTAGAAAAAATTAAATTACAATTTTTCTTTAATTTTCCTTATAGCCAAAAATTCAGGTTTAACTGCATATTTCTGTTTAAAATTTATCTTAACAGTGGTCAGTTATGTAAAAGAGAAATAATGTATTCTGCCTCGGTGTCTTATTGACAAATTTTGCTATATTTACACATTTGATAAATGTCTTTACAAAAAAAATATTAAGAACACAACCCAAAAAGTTGACAGTGCTTTTTTTTTCTGTACAAATATACACTAGAGCAATGATTGTCAACTAGGGTGCCATGAGATCTTTTCAAGGTTATTGGGTGCCACACAATATTAGCACTTAGGTTTGCCAACACGGTTCACAATCTGAACACAGCGATTTCCAGTAGGAATCTATAGTGTCAAAAACATCCTGACTCAAATTCTTTCCGACTTCTTTGCAGCATAAGAATTGCTCTATTATTATTATTATTTTTTTTTTTTTGTAGTCAAAAACAAGTGAAAACTAAGCTGTCATTTTCCAAGGGGTGCCTTGAATCTAACAAGGTTGAGAACTCCTGCACTAGAAAATCCGAAGGTGCGTGATCTTCTAAATTACTAGTTTTCCAGTCTGGAGCATTAAAGATGACTGAATCTTCTTCTGTGCTAGCTCTGCTCTCAGTACTCGTGAATCAGAAGCTGCTTGTTTTCTCATCTACCGAGGAAGCAGAGATTATTTAAGGAAGACTTTGGAGTTGAAGCCCATGTTGTTTTATATAGATAAATAGTAACACAAACACAATATTCTGGTTTTCAACAGGGGGTAGGGGGGTTGTTTTGTTTTTTGTTTTATGTTTCTGGTGTTTGGGTTTTTATTACTCTATTCTGCTATTTTTAAGAATCAAAACCTGAAGTCCTTATTCAAGTAAACTTCCACTGATGTCAGTGGTAGATGGCTTGAGTAAAGAATAGTGAAAAAAAGATTGAAAATCTCAGGATTTAATCATTTGATTCATAGAATATTTTCCACGCTTGTGATTTTTTACTAGCAATGACAGAATTGGCTTCCATATTGGAATAAGACATGGGGTCACATTCTAATTTTCTTTATATTACATTCAACATTTTCTCATTGTAATGATCTGTACCTTCCCTGGTGTAACTAAAATAAAAATGACTCCAGGTTTTTAGGTGAGGGGATGATTTGAGGACTTGGTCTGTCTACAGCTTAAGAACTTGTTGGTGTTATAAAGCTGTTACTATGAAAAATTCAGTATTTCCTCATGCATTAGCCTTTTAATGACAAAGCCTCTAGCACACATCTACCTAATGACAGTGGAGAGGGGTTTTGACTCAATAACTGCTATGCTAAGGAGGTTGGCTGGAGCTGAGAGAAGCTACAGTTTTTCAGCTGTCTGCAGGGAAGGGGAGTTGGAGAGGTGATACTTAATAATTCAGGTTTGTCATTAACTCAAGCGAGAAAGCAACAAATACCATCACACTCACAGAAAAGTTTAATTTGAGGAGATTTAATTATAATCTCAACTAGTGACTAATTTTTGAAGTTTCAAATGCATGTTATGACTTGATGTTTACAGGGAAGGAAATCTATATAATTCTGATTTCCAGGTTTGTTAGGACACATGCGAATTACCTTAATTTCTATGATAAGTTTCATTTTGATATTATCGAGCTTTCTCTTTAGGTGATCGACTTCGTGTTGCTCTGTGGTGATCCGAATGATGGTGGCGTTCTGCGTGAAACAAACAAAGCGTGTTTATACCTGCAGTACTAGGAGGCTTATTCTATGTGGCCTACAGGATTAAGTACCTGAATAAATTGCTGAAGGACAGCGATAGGCATGTACCTTCTGGGGTGCCAACAAAGGACAGCATTAGGCACGTATCTTCTGGGGTGCCATGCAGGTACAGGTCAGATATATGAAGATACTTGGAGGTTTTTTCCCATAACAGCCCACACAGATCTTAAGCATGTTCTGTTAGCATTCTCCACCTTGTTATCTTACCATGAAACACACCAGATGCATAAAAATTAATTCAGGGCTTGTCCTCATTACGCGCAGGGCCCTAGACAGGTTTTAAACATGCAAAGCAAAACGGCACTAAAATTGTTTCAGACAAGTGATTTTTATTTATTTTTTTTTTTAAAGTTAATTGAGCTCTTTTTTATATCTATTGCTAGGGTCTGTCAATGAAGCCAGTTAGATTCCCCGCAGATTAATTAAGCGCAACAGGCTGTTTTTACAGGTTCTGTTATTTTGCATATCAAGCTTGAAACTTCTGGGTCCTTTAAAAAAAATAGTGTTACAAATAAGAACCAGCAACCCTACCTTAGAGTCTGCAACGTGTGTTGTGTGTTTTGCTCGTTTCCAGCTATCCCTGGCTTCCAGCTGTGACAGTAACTTTTGGTGAGAAAGCTCTAAGTCTTGCCTCAATTTATTTAAATAATCTTCAAGTGAAGCTGTAGCCTTTTTGGTTTCAAAGTACTTCTTTTTCCATGCCTGGCGAGCTATAAATGAAAAACAACAGCTCTGTATGCTCTTCTCAGGTTAACTGGCATTGTAGAAAGAATAATGACAACAGGCATGTGGGTGGAGGGAGTTCAGTTGGGGGTTTTCAACCCCCTCGGGAGTGTGAGGCTGGTGTATTGGAGCCTCCCTGAGGGGTGTGTGGGGGGGCTCCAATTCACCCACACCAGCCTTGAGCACTGGCCGGGGAGCCCCCAAGAACGAGCTCCCTCTGCTGCCTTTCCCCGCTCCCATTCTGAAAGCCGAGCACTGGCAGAGAGCCCTGGCCATTGCTATGGGAACCTGGGTGCAGGCTCCCAGCCCACAGATAGATTCCCCTGACCCTGGAACCAACCGTGAACTTCTGTTTGGTCTGGGGTAACGTCGTAACTTTACAGAAATCGTTCTCACTGGGAGCTGCACTTCTGGCTGCACCCCAGGTGGTTTGGCAACACTGTTAACTTCAAAGTGGATTATGTGTATTAAATGCAAAAGGGGATTTCTTTTTAAGAACACAATTAATGGCTAGCCAAAGTAAAAACTGCTTCAGTTATACTGTCACCACTGGATCAGCTAAACTCTAACCAACTGAAACTTCAGATTAGCTCTGTCATGCAAGGTTTGTCCATGGCTGGAGCAGGAGTCCTGCAGCACTACGTCTTCAGGCCTGTGCAGGCTGGCAGCAGCAGAGACTGCAGTGTTCCCAAGTGCCGGATTTGCAGAGGTTTGTAGCAGCACAGGACTGGAGAAACAGGCCCAGGACAGTTCTTTACCTTACAGCAAGTATGTTTCTTCAAGATGTTAGCTACATAGATCCAGACCTGTTGGAAAGGAAAAGGAGGGGTGGGGGAAGAGAGAACGAAAGTGGGGAAGAGGGGAGTAGGCTGGAGGGATCTGGACCTGCCTAGAGGGAGGGGGAGCAGCCCTGATTGTGGTGCATAGGCAATGGCCCAAGCGAGGCTGGAGCTGGGCACTTGTAGCTTCTGTTACTCCCCACTGCCAAACTTTCTGACCCATTGGGCTCTCTGTGGGCTGGATGTCATGTCAAAGTCAGGGCTTTGTGGGCTGGATTTGACCTGTGGGCTAGAGGTTGAGCACCTCTGGTATGAAGAATTTAGATAAGACTCTGAAGGTTTTAACTGAATTAAAATAAAAAGGAATGAGTTCTTAAGGAGCCTTTGGCTTGAAGCCCCATTGCAGTATCATTGGTGTGCGATGTAAGAAAGAAAAGGGATAAAGGAGTGGAAAACTGAAAATACCTTAGCAAGTGGGTGGAATTTAAGGGAGACCTGCCCCCTGTGAAAAATAGTGTCTGTTGAGCCTTCTAGGAGAACTGGTAATGTTTTCTGTACTGAGACTGCATGCTATTGTCAGAGATAAATGGTATAGACTCCAGGAGGCTAATCCTTTCAACAGAAACCCTGTCAGTCCAGCTAAGAGCCTCCCTCCCCACAAACATTAAGGGTGGTGTTAACAGTAACCTTTAAATCATTTTTAAAAATCAGTTAAAATGAAAATGTCCATTCATTAAAGGGTGTTAAACTGTGCTAAGTACCACCCTAAGCATCTTAAAGTAATGCCCTTGCAGGGGAAGGTTGGTTATCTTTGAGACTTTCAAGCTAGCTGGAGCTAGGGTATTGTTAGTCTGCTCTGCAGCAATAACATGACCACTTTGTAGTCAACCAGCACCCTAGGGTGCAGGGCTGCCAGCAGCTCTGCCCCTGACAAATTTTCCACCATCCAAAGCTTTACTACCCAGCAGCGTGGTACTGGCCCCAAGCTAACCCCCCCTCTCAT